AAAATGAATATGTTATCCTTGATCCTCCAATTAAATTCGGTAGGATGTTAAATAGGAATCATCGCCTTATTCAGATGGATGGCAAGAAAATTCTCGCTATAGAATCGTCGGATTTTGCTCAACAACGTGTCCAATTCTCCAGCGATTTGGCGAACACATCAATCAAGAATTATTTATATCTCCTTGTTGGATGAAGCCTCACTCATTGCATCAGATGATGAACCCCGTGATCAACTTGCACCTCATGCCGCTATTCTAATCATATTCATCATTTATCTTCTGGAAAAGCATATTATTACATGGTTTATTGACGGCGACCAGAGAACAATTGCATTAATAAATTATTTGCAGTTCATGTATGCATATGAACACATTATGTCAATTCAAGATCCTCCAGAAATATTAAGCATTATATTATTCTATGACGCAGATTTTGCAGGAGATATTCAAAGTAGAAGGTCTACGTCAGATTATATATTGAATTGAATTAATTCATCAAATTTCGCTTTGCTAAGTTGGGGAAGTAAAACACAAAGTGTATATCACGGTCTACGATTAAATATAATATTGGAAAATATTGGCAAATATTAATTCCATCAATCAGATTTTATTATTTTGAATTAATTCCATTGAAATTATCATAATTGCAATAGACTACTATGCTAAGCTTCGTCACCTTGCTAAGACGCATCGAATCAATGTTGCATCAACTTATGAAGTGGTCAATAATTCAGAAGACATCGATATCAATTCCATAGATATTTCGTTGCAACGAGGAGACGTCCTCGCGAAGGATCTGTCAAATCAGAAGTGGCATTTTCGTATGAGCCAGATAAGGGTTGAATTATCGTATAGCTTAAATTAAGTCTTGAGAATTTTTTGAATGAAAGGATATCCATTTGTATGATGCAAAGCCTGTAATGTTCTACCTATAGGAATATGCAAGCCAGGATATGATGGGCAACGTAAGTGCCTCTATCCTACGTTCATTCGCGTCGATAATTAAATTATCAAGGCACAGGTGGCTTCTAAAGAATCAATTCTTTCGTAATCTGGAATCCTAATTATATAATAAGTGCATTTCATCATAAGGAGGAAATTAAAAATTCTATTGGGAATAACACCCCTTGCATTATAATAAATATGATTCATTTGTTGATATAATTGTAAGGGCTTCGCCGGGTGCCGCCGACCCCTCTTCAGGAGAAGTGTAGCATGTACTGAAGGCGTTTGTGTAGTTCCGGTGGTTGCCCGTCTGTGGAAAGAAGATGGACGTTCTGGCCTTAGGAGGCTGAAGCTAGGGAGTGCAAGTACTATGCACGGTCGTGGTGGGCTGGGGTATTGCAGGGGCAGTGGTTTGGACAGGACTTGATGAATGTGGACTTTAGGGATTCCAATGGCCATCTGGCCAACAAAGGACAACGCACGCGGATCGGCGACCGTTTGTGAGGGCCTTGCCTGGCAGCTCAGAGCTGACCAGGGGAGGCTTGCGGTGATGCAGCCCAGGTGCTGACATCATTGCTTCTTACGAACGGTCGCTGGTCCGGTGTTGGTACGGTGGCAGTTAGAATCCCTCAATGCCAAGGTTGCACCCTGCGAGGCGCCGAGAAGTGTTTGAGGGGGGGCCGTCGCCTTCGGAAGCCTAGAAAAGAAGAGGCTGGCCTCGGCTGCTAGCACCGTACGTGGCAGCCAAGGCCATGCCTATAGGGTGCGTGGCCTCGGAAAGACTAGCTGTGGTTTGTGCTAAAGCCCACAAAGGTGGAGATGCCAATGCCAAGGTTGCACCCTGCGAGGCGCCGAGAAGCGTTTGCGGGGGGGCCGTCGCCTTCGGAAGCCTAGAAAAGAAGAGGCTGGCCTCGGCTGCTAGCACCGTACGTGGCAGCCCAGGCCATGCCTAGGCTGCGTAGCGCCTCGGACAGGCTAGCTGTGGCCTGTGCTAAAGCCCACAAAGGTGGAGATGCCAGTGTTAAGGTTGCACCCTGCGAGGCGCCGAAAGGCGTTTGAGGGGGACCGTCGCCTTCGGGAGCCTAGAAAAGAAGAGACTAGCCTCGGCTACTAACACCATACGTAATGATCCAGGCCATGCCTAGGCTGCACCATACGTAATGATCCAGGCCATGCCTAGGCTGCGTGGCCTCAGAAAGGCTAGCTGTGGCCTGTGCTAAAGCCCACAAAGTTGCACCTGCGGTGGCGCCTCCCATTTAGGCTACGGCTAAGCTAAGGTCGGCGAATTTTTGTTTATTTTGTTGCTTAGAATTAATTACCATTTCAAATGTTTTAAAAAAATCAATATTTAAATTAATATATATAATATATTTATTTAATATATTCAATATAAAATAATATATATCATATATTTATTTAATATGTTCAATATTTATAGAAAAAATATACAATTTAAAATTCATAAATAAAATACATAAATATTTAAAATATATATTAATACATCCAATACCGATTTACAAATAAATATTTTTTAACAATAATAAGTAAATATATATATTAAAAACATATATATTTTAAAAAATACCTCTCATAAATCCATATATCGAAATTAATTTTAAAAAACAAAATAATCATTATATTAAAAAAATACAAATAATCCTAATATATAATATATTTTAAAAAAATATTATTTCAATATCATATCGAAATATTTCATAAATTTTCTTAATAGCATTATAAAAATATATATAAATTCATTTATTACAAAATATAAAAATAAAAATTATTTTATGTTAATTTTTTCAATAAAGATTTCGATATTAATATAATAAATATATATCATAAATTCAATTAAATTCATCGTTTTCGTTTTTATATATTTTATATATTAAAATCATTATATAAATAAATAATATATTTAAAATATTTAGTATTATTAAATATTATTAAATAAAATATATTTAATTATTTATATATTAAATATATATAATTTTATATTTAAATTTAAATGAATTTTCAATTATATATTTTAAACATTTTATATAAATTAATAAAAATAATCCATTATGAATTTAAAATTTATATATTACAACCCTAAAATGGATACGAAAACAAAAGCGACAACCAATCAATTACCTAAAATAAATGCGCAAAAAAAGGCTAGACGCGACGGACATAATAAGTCTTCAATACGAAATAAGAAAGCAAGGATTTCTATTCCTATGAATATAGGAAAACGTTTTAAAAAAGAAAAAAACACCTTTAAAATTACTTAGACCCAAGATCAAATAAACGTATTACATCGGACAAAAAGCACCACCCGCTATACCTATCGTCCACATCTTCCACATGAACTCCCATCCCATATGGAGCGCAAAAGGGTCTGGCTACTATGCCTCTTCACCATTAAAAGGGGGACCCCCAAGCAACTCTAAATTGGCCCACCGCATTCTATTACCCACTGCATTCTGCTCCCTGCCCTGCCCTCACAGACGCACACCTCCCTTTCACCCCGGTCGAAGACCATTGTCCAGAGACGCACATCTCCCTTTCCGGAAGGAGCCACTTTTCGTGCCCGTTGTTCCCTCGTTCCTATCATCGACATGAACTCCCACCCCTGGTGGAAGACTGCTTTAATTGCCTCCTGAACCCCTCATAATGCTATGATGCACTCTTCGCCGTCAAACTTGCATCACAACACCCCAAAAACTACGCGCGTTCACTCCCGAATTGATGCGCCTTTTTTCGCTCTCCCCCACCAGACTCTGGGCTCACCGTCCGAAATTGCTCTCTGTACGACCACCCCCCCACACCCCCTAGCACTCACTTCGCACGCCAACTTCAGCCTAGCCCATCGGCTGGCTTTCGTGATGATAGGCAAACGACAGTGGTGCGTTTGTAAAATTACCTATCAAACCAAAATAAGCCAAAAACAATGGTTTGGAAACTACGGCCAACATATGTGAAGCTCAAACCAAAAAAATATTCCGGCACGAGACCCCAAACAGTGTGTGTGTGTGTGTGAGATCTACAGGCAGAATGTTGGGGTCCAGAGGGGTGATGGCGGTGATGAATTTGGAGACCGTGGTGACAGCGGCGATGGTGGTGAGTGTGACTGTGAGTGTGAGCGTGAGTGAGAGTGAGTGAGAGTGACAGTGAGTGAGAGTGAGGGTGAGAGTCATAGTGAGAGAGTGAGCGAGTGTGAGTGTGCGTTGTGTGAGTGTGGGTGTGAGTGTCAGTGTGAGTGTGCGCGTGAGTGAGAGCGAGAGGTGAGCATCTGAGAGCACAAAGCGCTGCGCCTCCCACGAAATCCGCACTTCGATGTTCACAAAGCGCTGCGCCTGCCACGAAATCTGCACTTCGAGGTTCACAAAGTGCTGTGCCTGCCACGAAATCTGCACTTCGATGTTCACAAAGCGCTGCGCCTGCCACAAAATTTGCACTTCGAGGTTCGGGCTTGCATCCGAGGGTGGGTGCCTGTGCGAAGTGTTCGTCGACGGACAACCCAAAACTCAGGAGTGGCGGCAGGGCAGCTTTGTGGCTCAGAGCGCCTGCCTGCTGCCCTTCAGCATGGCGCTGGAGCAGTCTCGAATGTTGGGTCCCTGGGCACGTGACTTGGTGCTGCAATCCAACTCCAGGCGTCGCTCGCACCGGGTGCAGGGGATAGGAGGCATGTGCGGGGTCTGGAGTACCTCTCCGGAAGGGGACCCCACATGAAAGATCTCCACCACGGACTCCCAGAGCACCAAAGCCGCTTCCCGCCTCCCAGCGTCGAGCATGGACTGGATGTGCGAGGAGAAGTCCAGCCGCGGGAGTGAGTACCTGGAGGTCCGTAAAAAGGGCAACATCGATCCCTTCCCTGACCCGCTCTGGCATTAAGTCTTCCGTCAGGTCACTCCTGAACTCAAAGAAGAAGAACCTGCCAATTTGGATCACACTTGAACCAAAATGGTATCAGGTTTTAATCACTCTGAGGAATGACCACTGTCCACCCTAAGCCTGCCAGACCTGAGACAATCATATACTATATATAAATATAGTATTATATAGTGTATGTTCAGTGATGTTCGCATAAATTAAAAGCGATGTGGATTGTCGAGCCATCCCAAAATATTCAACCCATCCATCTGGATTTGACCTGATGCAGTGTCATTGTTGCAATACGATTGTTGATGTTAGGATGATCCATTTCCCTCCTCCATCAACAACATGAGGGATTCTCACGGATTCTCCATATCAGTGCAATGCAAATGATGCAAATCAAGCCTCACATACATCGATCGTCTCACACAGCGATACGAAACCACAGGAGCCTGTTGAAAATCCGTCCGCTCCGAGTCCGAGTCCGACCGGAAGAACCCCGAGATCCGACCGAAGAACGCAGCAAATCCGTGGCCTGTGAGATCGCCATGGCCTTTCCAGAAGATGTACTTGTACAGATCCTCACTCCCCGACCACAAGGACGTGGGCGGCGAGGACGCGAGGCGATTTCAAGAAGGAACGGGAGCGGTCCGGATGAAAGGGAAATCGGGAGCGGTGGAGAAAGCAAGCGCCGCGGCCACGCGCAAGAAGAGATGTTTCACTTATAATAGAAATCACGTCACTAACACAAACAGGATTCCTGCTCACGTTCCAGCAGAGTACCATCCATCATCGGCCCAGAGAGTCGCCAACATGTAGCCACCGGTCCGAGCAATCCACCGGCCTCTCCCCCCCACACGGTCGCGCGAGCCAGGTTGGCGCCAAGGGTCGAGGTCAGGATACCAGAAGACGCGACGCGGAAAGCCCGTGCCGTAGACATCCAGCGGATCCCCGTGCTCCTCTCGCGCCTGGAGCAGACTGGACGCCGAAACGGAAGGACCGACGGGGAGTCCGGGCCCCAAGTCCGTGACTGGACAAAGTCTTGATCTTTCAGACCCCATCATGCAGATATATGAAGAGGTAAAATCCAAATGAGAGGCCGGTTGATTCATCAGGATTCAGATGTTATTGCTCTTCCAAAGAGGATTGAACATCCAAGTAAGTCTCCCTTTGTCTCTCTGATTTTTCAGCATCACCTTCCGTCGTGTTGGGCCCGCAATTGAGAGGGGTGTCAAAGGAACACTCCATTGGAGACGATATTCCCTCCCTAGGGCGGGAAGTAGTCGTATGTAATTGAATAAGGTAAATGTAAAAAGAAAGTAACCTGCCTCCCTAGTACGCGAGACATGGATGCAAGCGGGGGTTTGCAAGGGCCAAGGATAGCCAAGGTACCTACATAACATCTGTAAAAACCAATAATTACAAAGAGCTTCCGGAAGCCGATCCCATGTTCCATCCAAAGGCCACCCTTTGGATCAAGCTCAGGAGCTTTACCCCACAGGTGAGGCCCCAAAGCAGCCTTCTCGCGCTTCCAAGCATCACGCTCGCATCTCACCGCCCGTCTTTCCGCGCCTTCAGCGGCGAGATCGTGCGCGCGAACTTGTCCAATTGCCGGACGCCGCGCGGGGCGTGGCCGCTCTCGAACCAAAGCCCGTCCTCATGGTGGACGCTCCACGGAGATCCGCGCCGTTGGGCGGGTGAAAGCGCAGCAACGACTAGACCCAGCGAAGGCGGTGAAGCGGCGCGGTCTGTGGAGGCCAGTGGTTGGGATTTGGGATGGCATGAGTTTAGCGGCTGCTCGTCCAACCAAGGTCTGCAAAGGCATGTGGGCTTGGAGCCGCATCAAAGCTTGGAACACGGCAATGGACACTCTGAGAAGGAAAATTCCAGGTTCCCACAACATGTGTTTGGTGATGTTTGGTGTACATTGCAGAATCCTTCGTTTTTTCGATCGAAATGGCTTAAACAATCACTAAACCTCCAAAGAGCGAGCGTCCTGCTTCGCAAGTGCCGTGTCGAAATTGCTCCGATAGCCTCAGGGCGAGTCGTGCCGGTCGCGGTGAGTGGTTTTTAGTGTGTCAAGCGGTTCGAAAGAACAAAGGGGGTCCCACTACGACCGAAGAAAATCAAACGCCATGGCAAACATGTGCAAGATACTGTAGGTTGGCCGCCATACCAGTGCCGCCATACCAGTGCTTGGTTGGTGGTCTACGTTGGATTTGGGATGCGCGCTGGTTGGAAGCTGCGCACCAAGATTGAGATGTGCCATGACGTGCCTGTTCACTGATTCATTAGCGGCGACCGCTGAAACTCTCCTGAGAAAAAGGCAGCACTCACTGGTACGGTATTTCCAGTCATCAAAGCCAGCTCAAAACGCTCAAGTAAAGTGATTCAGTGATTTACGATAACTGTAGTTTATCTACTTACTTACAAGCAGGGGCCACTAATAACTAAATTGGAAAGTTGCTGGATTTCAGAGAGTATGCAACACATCCACCTTCGTCCGCACTCCTCACCTGGCGTCCCCCTTCGTCACTCCTCCAGTCACCTCGTCGAGGTACTTTCGACCACGCCATGTCCAAAGAGGCAAATGTTCGAAGACCTTCGGTCGGCCGCTTCCCCGGGTTAACCCGCAGGGAACCCCCTCGGGTGTTCCGCCGCAACACCCGGCGGTAAAGCCCCGCATGGCGCTGCTTCTTGGAGGAGCACCGCTCCGTTAATGGGGTCATTTCCTCAATATAAGGGACGGGAGTGATCTGCGCTTGGCCCAAAGCACAACAAAAGAGTGGAAAACTAAAAACCAGGTTCGGCCAAACATGGCCAAACGACCAGCGCGGCCAAGCAGCAACACGGCTGTTGGTTTCTAATTGGTTTCTTCGCGTATCCTTCTGGGGCTTGGATTGCCCTGAGTTGAGGACAAACATTTGGTGATGGGTCAAAACCTGGAACCGTAACACCATGTAGCTTGACCTCCCAGGTACTTGCAGGTCAACCAAGGTATCCTGACTTTGACCCACATTCATTTACAAGGGCAAAAACCAGCACACCCCACCCAACACCTGATGCCCACCCTTCACTTCGGCCCTTCACGTTTTGAGTCGAGTCACGGGAAGGGAGACGCGCGGTACTCATGATAGCCCACACGATGCACCTCACAGCAGGCGCAAACTCCACCGCTACCCCAAAAAATGACAGAACCCAAACACTCCAAAGATGTCAGATCTACCAACATTGGGGTGGCTTAAGGGATCAATGGGTCCACCCTAGTAATCAGCCAAAACCTTGCAAGGCTGAAACCGTGCTGGGGCATGACTGCGCTTGAAACTTTCCGGCCCTACCTGTTGCATGCTGCTGTGGTTTCTTTCAAAGTTGCAACCACAAATATCTCCCACGACCACCTACGTTTCTCCCCAACACCGCGTCCCATCACTCGTGGTGTTTACCCCCGGCCGCAGCGGTGGAAAAAACCCTCTCACCGTCGAGAAGTTCTCGAACTTTTCGGGAAAGCCCACACCGACGGTCACCGTGTCCAGCAGGTACATGTAGGCCTTCCGGCACGCAAAGGAAAGCGTCGTCCACTGACCCCCCCCAGCAAAAAAAACAATTGGAATTTTGAACTTGCTTCACACCAGGCAACCCACGGTTGATCATGGCGTGGCTGGCGGCTGGAGCGCCAAGTTAATGAAAGTGAGTGCACATGCTAAACTTCCCGAATAGGTTAATTCAGGTGGTGTTCAATAATTTTGATACTGAATCAACCCTCAACCTTGAACCAGAAAAAGCAAAAGGACACAAGCGCAAAAACAGTGTTCTCTTTTTCTGTGCCCTGATATCGGTCCAACTTGGAGTGTTTTTTGCCCTCTTAGGGGCCCCTTTTGCCAACTATAATGTACTGTCGCAATGTTCAGCCATGTTCTCTTCGACTTCATGGAGTCAAAGGACACGTTGGCAATCACGACAAATTGCATAGGCTTCGCTGTGCTGTTCATTCCTCAACCAAGCTAGACGGCTTCTTCCAAAAGTGCAAAACAAAAAGGAACACAATAACAGAACATGTTCAGCGTTCAAACTTCAAAATATGCAAAAAGAGAACTCAAAAAGATAGGAGGTGATCACACCCAATCAGCAGCTCAAGCAAAGCTTTTCGTGCTTCAGGCGCTCCAGTATCTGCAAAATTTCTTCCTTTCTTGTCAACTTTGTCAGCAGCATGGTTTGGAAGTAAAAGCTTTGGGCCAATGCGCTACATCTAAACTTTCATAGCAGGCAAGGCCCAGCACAAGGAAAAGGCTTGGACAAGGTATGAGTGGGTGTGAGACAGACTTAAAACACATTGCCACGCTGCACGGCGCTGCACACCAAAATCACAGCTGTTTCTTTTTTCGCTTTCGCCCTTTCACCGTGGCTGCCATGCGCTGATTGACGGTTTGCCCGTTAGAGCAAGAGCAATACAAAAGCAGCTCCAAATCCCCTAGTCACTGGTGGTGACACCAAAACCCTACTGGTGGACATGAGACTCCACTCCCACTGGGAACGCTAAGGACGTTGCTTCCGCACCATTGGTTGGCTATTGGTGGCTCGTGTGTTGCTGCTTGGCCTAGTCAACAAAGCAGTACCATCAAGTGTGTTCTTGGAATTGCTGGTATGCCTAGTGTGCTTAGTTTGTTTGTCCAAAGAAGTTGTTGAGTTGAATCAACAAAACGGGGGCTAAGAATGGGGCCATGTTCAGTTGAACTGCAATTCCTGTCCTTGCTAGTCGCCCTGTAATCGAGAAGACAAGTGAGCGATTGGGCGGGGTCGTGCCCATGCCACGACCCGGAGTTTTTCAAACCCAAGTGTCCGGCGGATGGATGCTGGTCTGTTGAATTGGCGTCAGGACATCTTCATGGTCTACCCTGGAGCTACAAGTTCTTTCCAAGGACATGTCATCAACTAAAGTGGCCAATTGGTACATTGGTCCGTTGTGTTGTCTTGCGTAAAATGCTTGGGCTGCAGTCGGGCGTTGGCAAGTAGAGCACATCGTTTGCTTGCTTGATAGGTTAACCTGGGCAAAGGGCAAGCCAGCAGCAAGCCAGCTCAGCGGACTTTGCCAGCTCAGACCCTAGATCCCTCTGCGCAAACAAGACGCGCCCGGTATCGGGGCGCAAATGGGGAAAATCTTGCTGGCGCACATGGCGGCTGGCCTGGCAAGGTTTTGCCCCCAACACCAGGAAACATGACCAAAGAATTAAAGAAGCAAAATTGATTAAATAAATCTACGGACGCTGGTGGCATGGCCGTTGCTTTGAACATGGCACAGTCCAGCCAAGTCCAGGACGTTTCAGGGCAACATTCTTGCTTCAAGCATGGGCCGGAAAAGGGTTGGAAATTTTTCAATCCATTTACCACAGTGGAACGGCAAGGATTGCACATATTTCAACAACACCACACGGAGTCCCAAAATCCGTGCAAATTTCAAGGATAGGGTGTCGGAGCGCATCAATGTGTTCCACCTGCACATGATTGCCTCCCGGCTCATGACAAACCACTGCCAACTTGACAGGCTGACAATGCGCAATCCGGCAGTTTTGGCGGCAGCAGTTCGAAGATAACAGCAAGCAGCTCCTGAAGCCTGCGGTCCACTGAGAAGCCGATTTTGATGAATAATCGCTTTGCGCTGAAGTGTTGCAGGGGGCTAATGTGTTTTCTGCCACAATGTTCAACGTCCTTATTTGGTCTTAATCGAGTCTTAAGTCTTTGTCGGACACCCCGTTCCAGCCGCGACGACGTAGCAGGGGATTTTCATGCCGTCAATAGTAGCTTGGCTCGGCCTGGCTCCTTTTCCTTGTTTTCATGTCCTTTTCTTCCTTCTCCTTTTCTCCTTGTCAACTTTCGCTTACCTTTTCGCACGTTCATCCTTTTCCTGTGCCCTTTTTCGTGTTCTTCCTTTCGTTGCTGTTTAATCCTTTGCCTTGTCCTTTTCCCTTTTCCTCCTTTTCCGTTTTCCTTTCCTTTTCCTTTTCATCAATTCCCTCTAACAAAGGAAATATTTGAGTTATGAGGTATAAGTTGTATGTAATTATTTTTTATAAACATAGGCACTCTCCCAGAATAGCAGGTAGCAGAACACCCACCTGAACAGCGTACATGTATGAAAGGCACGCCACAGCAGACTGAGACACCGTGAGGAGCTCGTAGACACGGTAGGGTGAGCCCCCCACAGGGTCTAAGGTGCGGCGCAAAGATGTCTCTGGCCCATCGTGGGCATCCATGGACAGCCAGGCGCTGTCTGCGCAAGGCCACTTCAAACAGGTCAATTTGGTGGCCCTCGTCAAGGCGGCAACGTTGCTGCTGTATGATTTTGGCTTCCACATTACCACATCGTCAGCGGTCCTGATAGCCTTGTATTGCGTGGCCGCAAGGCTCGACATGCAGCTGCTTGTACTGGACCTCAATGTACAGGAGGTGTGAGTGGCTCCAGCGGCCATCAACATAGATGACCCGGCGAAAGGTGATAAATTTCATCCGTTCGCGACTATTGTCTGTGTCCAAAAGAACGACCATGAAGCGCTGGCCATGACCACCGGCCAAGTATGATTGCAGATCGTTCCAGCGCGATCACTCGCTTCCCGCCAGTCTTTGTGGCTGCGCACAGCCCTTGGCCAGATTGGGCCTCCGTTCAACGCTCCGCCGTTCAATCGTTCAATACGTCCGTCGCCAGGAACACAGCGAACTTATATATATATATACACACGACTTCTGCCGCAAGCTCAAGGGCTCGAGTTTCAATCTCTGCCGCCTTAAACTCAGGGAGTTAATTAAGAGGGCCAAAAGCACGCGCTTGGCATTAGAAAATATATTGATATAAATAAATATATATATATATTGGTTTCTTATATGCACTCAATTGCACTCATGACTCATTGCATACTGCTTTATTATTCTCTTCGTGAAAGCGGTCCTACCACAAGGACAAAAGGGGTCCGACCACGGACCGAGGCGCGCTACGCGCGGTTTTCCCGCACGGCTCTCGAGCCCACCCTATGGGCAGTGAAAAAGGGTCAAACATGTGTCCATGGAACCTCATGCTTGCATCCCATACACTTCCTGACCCTTTTTCAGGTCAGGTGTAGGGATCATAGCGCGCCGGAGGCTCCTCGGCATCCCACGGCCAGTTAAACTTGTTGGCCAGCTTCTTCAAGGTCGAAATGAATGCCACTTCGTTGGCCTTCATCTCTCGGATCTTTTGCTCGAGGATCCTCTTGTGGACCTTTCTGCCCGCTTCAAACTTTGGGTCGTGCACCAATCGCCATTTCTGGCGTTCTGAAAAGAACTGAAGCAGCATCTTCCGTGCTCCTTGCTTGGTGAGCGCATCGCCAAGCTGCGCATGGCCTCCGACCCATCGGAGCTGAGTCTTGGCCTTCACGGCCTGTGCCACCGCGAGCGTCAGCTCGTAGCCCGCTCTGCTGTCCCTCAGCCCGTGTAGTGCGGACAGGTTCCTGGTCATCGCATCGTAGATGCCTCTCGAGTCCATCACCAAGGCGCCGGGCACCGATTGCACCGCCAGGTGCAATTCATCTCTCTTCAACTCGATGCCCCCAAGCTCTGCCAGGAGAAGTCGAATCTGGTAGTTCTGGTCTTCTCCGATGGTGATCGACTGCACCTCAGCGCCGTTGCTTCCAAGGCATTGGCGTGGCGTTTTGCCACTCTTCCATTGAACCACCGCCACTTGGACTTCATGGCCTTCAAGGATCTCTCGCGGAGCAATGCCGCTGATGATGCCAACAGTGCTGGATCGATCCGGCCTGTTGTGTTGTGAGGCGTCAGCCCATGTCACCACGGCCAGGTCCTCCACCTTCTTCGCATTCCAGGAGGACGGGAACAACAAACCCTGCCCAGCATCGCGCCGCATCTCGCGAACCAGCTCCTCTCAACTGAGAGATCTCCTGAGGATTCAGGGAGGTCTTTCGGGCTTTGTTCTTGTCAATGTTGATCTCCTCAAGCCACTTGAGCGAGTAAGCCTCTTGGTTGAGGACGATGCTCATGTCTTTGCCCTGCCGGAGTGAACAACCGGCGAACTCGAAGGCTTCCTCCTCCCATTTTCCCCATCGGAACGACTTGGCCAGGATCTCCTCACGGCTCTTGTAGTAGTCGGACTGCAAATCACCTGCTAGTAGAAAGTCATCCACATGCAGTCCAGCCAGGCCGGCAATCTTCTTGTCGCCATTCTCTCCAGCCTCAAAGAGCGAAAAGAGGCATTTATCGCCTTTCAGCTGAGTCCACCCAGAAGCGGTCATCACCTCCACACATCGCTCATACCACTTGCGGGGTGCTTGAGCTAGCCCATAGAAGGCTTCTCGAACTCGAAGGGCTCGGAGGTCACCAGGCTTGGCACCGAAGAGAGCTGCAAGCTCCGGCGGTGCGAGGACGTTCAGCTCCTCGGACTCCAGGTTCGTGCCAGTCTGCAAGAAGGCAGACGTCACGTCACCGCTCTTGACGGTGAGGTGTAGCCCTGCCGCTGCCGTCAGCAGCAGGTTCCTCCCCAACTTTGACATCGTTGGGCTCGATGTCTCCACCTCCGTCAGGTTGTGGGCTTGGAACCCGAGGACCACCAGCCGAGCCTTCGCCGAGTTGTCGGCTTTCCTCGTGAGCACCCATCGCATCTGCACCTTGGATGGGTCGAGCTTTGCCTCCTCCGCGGCCGTGAGATTCCGCAAAGCGCGGCTAATGGCCACCTGCGAAAGCTCCTTGGCCATCGCCATGTCGAAGTCCTTCTTCTGGTTCAGCGGAAGCCGCATCCAGTCCACCTCCTTGCCTTTCTCGGCCATCTTCTTGCTCAGCCACACGGTGCCCCGTCGGCGGTGCCGATTCTTGGCCAGCCACTCGAAGTCATCCTCGTCAACATCCAGGGTGAGCACCACAAAGGTCTCCTCCTCCGGCTTATTGGGGCCCCTTGGCTTGGACTTGCCATGCTCCTCCGCCGGGCGAAGTTCATCTGAGCTGTCAGAGCCAATGTCAGAGGGCTCTGAGATCGAGCTCGAGGATGATTCCTCCTCCATCTCTTTCTCACCTGAGGTCGGTGCTCTTCTTCCTTCATAGAGGTCGTAGATGAAGGTCTGACCATTGCGGTCTTGATGATGCCCATCATGGCCGCCAGGCAGATCGCAATCTGGCACTGCGCACCTGTTCACCCCAGACTCCCCTCGGAGTGGCATGTCATCCACCATCTCGGGACCACGTTCATGTAGTGCAGCTTGAAGACCAGAAGGCATGTCGGTCGATGCGCTCGCCTGTTCTTGTAAAGTTCTCCCGCACCGTGGTCGTCAGATTCTCCCGGATGTCCATCATCCTTGGTCACCTGCTTGTCGGCCTTGCGCTTAGAGCCTCGGCTTTCCACCTTCTTCACCTTCTTGGCCGGTTGATCCATGGGTTTCAGCTCAAAATGAGTCTCGCCAGTCCACCGGTCCGGAAGGTTGCGGACCACATCCACCGTGTCCGCTATGACCACAGGATCACCTGGAGGTAGTCCGTCTCCTCGCCGTAGAGGTTGGACATGTGTAGTCCTCTTGCCCGTGAGATCGTCAATGCGGACAGGGCAATTCGCGGCTCGAAGCGGATTGAAAAGTCCAAGGCGCGGAAGATAGT